CATAGAGGGTTATAGGAATATGAAAAGGAAAATACTATGCTTTGCTCCATGACTTATGCAAATCCCTATCTCATGGCAAATAGAAAGGGTGCTCCAAAGTTTGTCAATAAAATGAAAGGACAGAGATAAAAAATCCTTATGGGTCGTGTTTTCCTATATCATTGCAAAGAGAAGCTTCATTCTCATTCATGCCAAATCCTTCAAACAGATGAGAAAAAAATCTCTTGAACTTCAACATAAATTCAAAGGGATCCATAAAATATGTAACAAATACAAAATGGATTATTCCCCCTCCCCCAACTCCTGTATGAACAGCTAGATCATGCCGGCTCAGTGAAAGAAATGACTTTAAGAAACATAAAAAGGTTTTCAGAGCTGCGTGACTTGAATTCCTTCTCTGATGACAAATATAGATAACAAATGAATTTTTTTGAAGTCATTTCTAATCTAAGATATGGCTCATGTTCTCAGAAGAAGCACCTTCTGCCTGGAAAAGCTGTATTAGAGATCTTCAGTTTGGCCTGGGCCAGAAATGTCACTGTCATGGATCCCCATGATCCTTAGACAGGAAAGTCATTGTTTCATTTGCAAGAATCAGAGGCTGTTCTTCTGGCTTGTATAACTAAATTGAAGGCATTTTTGGAAAGTACGCAAGCAGATCCTCAGCTGGGGAAAATTCTCTTAGGTCATAGATTCAGACTTTAAGGTCAGAACAGACCATCCTGATTGTCTAGTCTGACATCCTGCACATTTTAGGCCACAGAAGCTCACCCACACGCTCCTGAAATAGACCCCTAATGTCTGGCTGAGTTACTGAAGTCCTCAAACCATGCTTTAAAGGCTTCAAGTTACAGAAAATCCACCATTTGCACTAGTTTAAACCTGCAAGTGACCTGTGCCCCATGCTGCTGAAGAAGGTGAACAATCCCCAGGGTCTCTGCCAATTTGACCTGGGAGAAAATTCCTTTTGGACCCCAAATATGGCGATCAGTGAGACCCTGAGCATGTGTGCCAGACCCACCAGCCAAACACCTGGGGAAGAATTTGCTGTAGTAACTCAGAGGCTTTCCCAGCTAGTGTCCCATCACAAGCCGTTGGAGATATTTGCTGCTAGCTCCATTGACTGCCATGATGTTATGACAATTTACCCTACCTCCCCCATGGTACCCAGTGATTATTACTGCACGTCTCATTTCTATATGATCACGTACACCGAAAAGATATGCAAATCCACCCACCCAAGAACATAAATATACACACTCCTCCCTTTGTACATCCAGGTACACACACTTGTGTGCACATTGGGTGACATTTTGTGTTCTACCTCTTACCAGATGTCTACACAGCAGCTGGGAGATGCAATTCTCTGCTCGGGTAGACATACACCTGCTAGCTCCACTCAAGCTACCGCGCTAAAATAGCAGCATGGCTGCAGCAACACAGGTGGCAGCTCGGGCTAGCCAGCTCAGTATAATCCTGCCCAACTCTGGGCATGTCCAGCGGATAACGTACAGCACAGGGTGGGAAGAGGCTAAGGGGGCTGTGAGCCACCTTTGTGCCCGCCTGAATTTGGGCTCCTGTTGGTGCTGGAGCAGCTCCTGGTGTAATACAGACAGACCCGGGGACCTCACTGAAGTGATAGCAGCCTCTGCCAGGCTTCCATATGGGCCACGTCACTACCCAGACTATCCATAGTGCTGCATGCTGTGGCCTGGCCCCTGACACCCCTCATGGTTCTGCCCCAGCCATACCCCTACACTACGGCTTGTGAAGGGAGTCTGTGGAGGGCAGCTTTATGGCTGTGTCCCACAGTGCCTGTGCTGTGAATCCTGCAGCAGCCAGAATCAGGGCATTTGCTGTCCCTTTATGCTGCTCCAGCCCTTTTACCACGTGTTAAGGGGCAAGAGGATCAGAGTTGGGTAAATAATTGATTTGTCAGTTTGGTGGCCGAACTGAAAAATCTGACCAAAAAAAAAAATATTTTGGGTCTACCCAGAAACTGCAATTATTTGGGGTTTTTTTCCTCAGCAAAATGAAAAACACAGAATTTTTTTGATTCAGGTAAAAAAATGTTTTCAGGGATTTTTTTTTAACCTTTGCAATATTTAAAAACAAACAAAAAAAACCAAATGTTAAATATAGAAACATCTTTTCAAAAGAAAGACAAAAGATTTGGACTTTTTCTCAAATTGGCTTTCCTCAATTTTTAGTCAGCCAAAACTGCTTGCCAAATTTGACTGGAACTTTTTGCCAAATTTGACCTGAATTCACAAATAGTTCTGTTCAACCAAAAAAAAAAAAAATCTTTTTTCGGTTAATAAGCTATTTGTCGAAAATAAATCGCCCAGCTCTAGTAAGATTCTCACCCAGCATACTCATACATCACACATTTGCACCCCCCATAAACAAAAACAGAATACTCTTTCTGAACAAACAATGCATGCACACATCCATTAAGCAGATATACACACCCCTCAGACATCCATTGCATTCTCCATGTTCAAACGCACACACCACACACATTCACCTCACGTGCAAAACCATGCACTGGGGAAAAGCCCTGCAGATCTTAACAGGGATGGAAAGAGTGCATTCTCTAGAACTGACTCCAAAATCCTATGGAACTGAGTGGAAATAAACTCTTTCCTATCAATTTTTTGGACCTAGAAAAGGGATCATTTGTGGGTTAAAGCTTGAAGCTTTATCAGCTTGAAGCTGTTCAAGTCCAGGGCACTTTTGTTTCATTCCTAGAGCACAGAGCAGCTGTGCTCCAGCCTTAGAGTGATGGCTCAACATTTCTATTCCCACATACTAGAGGGATACTTAACTGTCAAAGCTAGTCTTTTTATTCAAATAACTGGTTCCGGATAGGTACGGGTGAAACCAATTTCATGCAGGCTTTTTGAATCAAACCTATTATCTGGTGAAATGATATAGAAAATCACTGCTTTTGCTCTGAGCTTTTGATGTGCAACAGCTTCTGCTTACTGTGGCAGTCTATTTAGATCTTATTCTAAGTAACCCATGGAGGCCCCAGAGCTCCCCTCTCAGTGCTATACAGAGCAATAAAGGAAATAATCACCTATTTTCATGTTCATTTCTGAAGTTGTTTCTCCTTAACAGAGTTTGAAATGGACCCTATTTTCCAGTTATGGAGACATTTTAGGCAATATTTTAACTGATTTTGTCATCAACATTTTTGAAATATGCCATTTGTGGAAAAAAACAGTAACAATCCATGGTTTTCAGGACCCAAAATATGTTACGAAATTTGTTTAGAAAAAAATAATGCAAACATGTTGGGAAAAATTGAAAATATTAATGTCACCATTTTCCCACAAATAAAATAACATTACATAAACAAATATATAAATGCAAATCATTTTAAAGGGACATTTTACAACCAAAATATTTAATGCAAAACATTTCAACTAGCTCAAGAGCTAAAAACTTTGTCATTTTTTTGATTAAAAAAATAATGTACAAAAGCACAGAAGACCAGTGCTAGGCAGACGGTGGATCACAAAGTACAGAGTTGATGTCGCCAAGACTCTCCAGGTCATGTTCTGAAGTCTTCACTTCCTTAGAGTGAAATTCACTCCTCCGCAGAAAGCCAGTGCTAGACCTATGTTTAGTTAATCTTAAATTGCCTTTGGTGGGTTTAGATTATACATGAGCCTTATACTAGGTCTCTGTGATTTTCACCCGCAGTCCTAGGAGTTTGTTTGGGAAAGTACCGAAGAAAAAACTGAGGAAAATTGAGTAAGGCCCCCAAAATTTGTTAATTAAGCTTCCTGCCCTACTCTCCCCAAACTATTTTGGATAAACAGAACCAACTGAACCAAGGGTGGGATTTTAGAAATGACCTAAGTGATTTAAAAACAGCAGTACCACTGAAAGTCAATAGGACATGTACTCCTCAGTCACCTAGGTACTTCTGAAAATCCTATTCAAAATCTTTCAAGTTCAAATAAGTTTTGAGGTTTTTATTAATTGTTTAATTATGTAATGACGATGATGATGTTAGTTTCTACATGTATCTGCTCCTCCTGGTTCTAGACATGACTACAAATAGAGGAGATGAAATGCCATAAGAGGTTGGGCATCTGCTATTTATGGCCTCGCTGTAAATCTTGTGAGAAAATCCCTCTCTCATGAGGTATCTAACCCAGTTTTGCAGACCTAAGAGTTCTGGGATAAGAACTGAATTGGCATCTGTATTTCTGGTGCTGTATATAAACAGAATTTAACTGCTGAAGATGTTGTATGTCCATCACTACTTTAACATAGAAAAAAGTTAACTACTAAAACTTGTAATAAATGTAGAAAGACAGGAAAGAACCTCTATTGGCTTTGCCACAGATTTGGACAGCTTTTACTAAATTCCCCACTGCTGTAAGCCAGGGTAATTCAGTGGATTTACTCTTGTACATGAACATTCGTATAAAAAGAATGAAAATGTCCATGGAAGGTAGACAATATTTGCAAAAAGTTACATTTTGTTGAAAACCCAATTTCCCAGCCCTAGCTGCAATGTCACCAGACTGATTATATCCACAAATCAGTTGATATTATGCAAACTCAGAGACAGATAGAACAATCTACCCCAGGGCAGGAGTAAAGATTGCAAACATGTTTTAGCTGTGTAGAGAAGAGGACTGTATTGGAGTGCTGAACATTTTACATTTTACAAGAGATTCTTGTAAATTCCTTGGGACTGGTTCTTCTGTTTTGTATTGTTCGCTGTCAGCACTCAAATAATTCAACAATAATAACATGACAATTGCAAGAACAGGCAATTTTTTATTTCTTGTAACTTACGCTGAGAGACTAGAAATAGCACAGAGGTCAGATTTGTTTCTTCGAAGGGAATAGTTGGCTCATCTCTTTTGAACACGTAAAACCCTTTGTTCTTTATGGGTAATGGCTATAATCCTTGTCTTCCACATTACTGTTATTCGCCCTATTTCCCTAGACACATTTAGTTAAATGGCTATCAACAGCAGACGATTAACGAAACGGGACAAGGGGATGAGTCAAAACATAAATCAGACAATAATGCTGTCTTCAGCAGAGAAGAGACTATCGACCAGCATGACAGCTTCTGCAAACTAATTAGAAAAGCAACATTCCAGTGTAATTGTACCAAGCTATGCCGTATTATTCCTCCCCCCCCCTACTTTAGTTAATGGCTATATATTAAAGAAAAAGACTAAGGACAAAACAATACAAATAATCCCAAGCAGGAAATCAACCCAAAACATAATTTTATTCCATTGACACAGGTCTCCTTGTTTATAGCTGCCAAAGGCCATAAACAAATGAGGCAAGAAGTTGAATTTTTTCTCTCTGTTAATCCCCACAAATACACCTCTTCTCCCCATAGCCAAACAAAAAGTATGTGTGTGCAGATGGGGTAAGAGAATCAGTGTTAAATGTCTCATGACTATGAAGAGGGGACATGAGCTCAGAGATGTAAAGTTCTCCATTTGGATCATTGGCACTGTAATTAAAAAGTATATTTCTTTAAAAGGATGGGTAGCTAATGACACTGAAGGTTTGTTGTTGTTGGATTATTTTTTTTGGCCCTGCCCTTTGAATCTTTGTTAGTAAAGGGAAAGAAATCCAAGATCTGAATGTTATATGATGGATAATAAACTCCGTGAGGAAACCAGATAAAAATCCAGTTTCTTGTCTTCCAGGGACTGGAGATAGTTCAGTCCCTGCAGTGCTAGTCACAAAGTCTGGATATGAATCTGTGTTCTCCCATAGGGCAGCAAGCTCAAAAGTGAGGATTTCCCTTGTCCCCATTATATAGATACGGGCTGGACCAGCCATGAATCCAGATCTGAATATACAAGTATGTGACAGTTCCAATACAGGATTTGGATTCAGGGATACAACCAAAGTGCCCTTGCTCACAGCCCCATTGCATGAAACGTGAGGATACCTTGTCACGTATTAAATTTACCTGTTCAAGCTCTGATAGATGACATATATGACATAGATGTGAAAATGCCTATATTCTGTCTACACTAGCATACCCACTCTTTGTGCCAGTAGGGGTCCAGCTGCACTGGTCTTAATGCAATGGTGGGAGATTTTCTCCAAAGAGAAAAAGCCCTTCTAGACTTCCCAAATTTGGCTTAGCCCTTGTTTTAATACCTGGGCACAAAAAGTTAAGGCCTCTGATTTGCCTGATATTTAGATCATTCTAATAAGTTAATGTTTGTGACGCTGTGCAAGAAATGAGATTTATTGTTTGTTGCTTACAGTCTGATACAGCCATGAGGGTCCTCTGGCATGTATCTTTTGCTGGATTGGGAATTAAGGCTACAATCCAGGAAAACAGCTAACCATGTGTTTAACTTCAAGCATAAGAGTAGCCTCATTGACTTCAACAGGACTATTCACATACTTAAAGACAAGTGTATGTTCAAGTGTTCTTTTCTTTTTTCTTTATTACCATGATTTTCTTTAGAAGGCTTAAAGTGGCAAAGGAATGTGCATGTCCCAGTTCACTACTAATATAAGCTTAGATTTGGGCAGTATGGAAAATCAGTTTGCATGGGTTTGTATATAAGGCATTTGGGATTGAGCTGGGACCTGGACTCTGGAACCCTGCAAGGGGCTTGAAGCCGGGGCTGCAGCCCAAGCCTAAACGTCTACACTGCCATTTTTTAACCCTGCAGTGCTAGTCCTGTGAGTCCAAGTCTGTTGGACCAGGCTCTGAGACTTATTGCCATGGTTTGGTTTGGTTTGGCTTGTTTTTCTGTGTAGCTAGATGTCAGGGATGTTGCTTAAGGAATTGGGCCCCAGGGGATCAGCAACTCAGGAGTCTGATCCTGAAACCATTATTGTGGCCTTATAGAGATATTGATATTGAATGGGGCTACTCACATGCAGGAGTGGGCCCCCAAAGTATTTACCTGAATATTTCCATCCTCGAAGCAAAATGTTGGTTCCATGATCATTGGAATTGTTTCTGGTAACTGCAGCTTCCTGCAGCAAGGATCCTACACGGTTATGCTAGTTCAAATTCTGGGTTTCCATGAGTGGAAGTTGCATTTTTATTCCAGTTCTGAATTTGGCTTTACAACAAGCTCATTCACTTTTACAAAGTAAAGTGTTGAAATTACTCATAATTGTGCCCATGAAAAATTGTTTCTACATTTGTTCTTGTAACTTGAAGCACTTTGATTATTTGCAAGTCAAGTCACAGCTCTAATGTTCTCAATTCGGAATGAGGCACAGTCAAAAGCCCGTGATAAATGACACCCAGCATTGTGGCTGAAGACTTACAGAGCTGAAATGTAGATGTCACTGTATTTTAATCATGGTCTGATGAAGAATCCTATTTTCATTACATGGCAAAAAAGTGTTCCTGAGAGCATATTAAAAATCTCTGGTAAAAAATATAATGGCCAGATCCGCAGCTGATGTAAGCTGATATAGTCCCATTGACTTCAACAGAACTCTCCCAATTTATGTCAGCTGAGAATCTGTCTCTCAGTGTCAAATGTGTTCAATTATTGTGCAAAAAACCACAATCAAAACCAAAAACACTTATTTACAAATCTAAAAAATTCAGATTCTCTAGTCAAATGTCAGGCTTCACAGATTCTTTGCTGTGGCTGCATCTATCACCCCCTTCTGAATTGCAAACTAAAACGTTGAATAAAGATTTTTACTTTTGCCCTGTGGATTTAAGGGATTATGTTATCTCAAGGAAAAGGAAGCATGAAGCTCAGTGACAACTGATAAAATAATGGGTCATGTTCTCTGGTCTGTGCAACCTTGGTGATAAACTGGGGCAGAGGAATTTCAGAGAAAGGTGTATTTGGTCCACATTTGTGGCTCCCTCGTTCTCTGCTGGACTGTACCGTCTGGCAACAACTCTGTGATTAAGTGGGGTATGGAAATATGATGAACAAGCTCCGTTTTCCTGGGCATGCATCGTACACTGTTATATCAACCAAGGATTTCCCTATTGGATTAGAGAATCTAGTGCAAAATACCTTATTAATGAGCAGAACTTTCTCCCTCTTGTCCTTCTCTTCTTCCTCTCCAGGATCTCCAGACTCCATTGCTACTGGCACATGGTACAGCTGTGTGGAACCTTCCAACTCAGTGTCCAAAGGGAGGTGAATTTTTGTGATCCTGAAAGACACCAGACCCATGGCAAAGGAAAATAACATCCTATATTTACCCACAGAACAGGGCAGCATAGAGAGCAGAAGTGGAAGCTATTCTGCCAATGTACTTTAAGCCTGTTCCAGAAGTGCCTTGCCACCTCTTGGGATGATATTCTAGTTGAGAACCAAATTCTGATAACCACACTGACATTGCTGAGAGCCTAGCTCCAGGAGTGATCCCATTGACTTTTGCAGGACCACTCGTGCCATATGATAGTATAAACATGAATAGGGAGATCATGAGCTGGCCTACACCATTCATGTCTATTCCTCTGTTATACTTGGACTTCGCTGCTCAGCCTGTGATATTAATACCAGGTCTGATTAGGAAGTTTAGTTTAGCTTGTTTGGTTTCTGATATGGGCATCAGGTCAGTAAAACCTGGACTGAGAGCAGTGACTCACTCGACCCAGGCCAGCAAACAACCACTAGTTGGAATCATCATTCAGTTATCACTGACCGGGGTCCCCATTCAGACAGGTGACCAAAAGCCTCCATTTTGCCAAACCAATCCACTGGATCATCCAGTCCCCCTCTCAGCCTAAGGTGTGTTTGTGGCTTACCTGCAAATATTGGCATCCACATGTTTACAAGCCTTTTAAAGATCAAAGTCTAATTCCCAGCACACTGATGTGTGACTTTGAAATGTACATTCACATTTAAATGGTGACTTTGTCAATTTTCTGGTTTCATATCAAACCCACTGTAATATTAAGCCCCTGTGAACTAAACTGGGGGGGGGGGGGGGGTTGGCTGACTACACAAAGAAATTATGTGAAGAGCCTTATGAAGCACTTTAGGGAAGAAGAGAGCAATCTTCAGAGTTGTTGCAGGGAAGGGAAAAGCAAAGAGATAAAAGGTCTGATCCTGCACCCTTTGAAGTCAATGGGAATTCTCCCACTGACTTGAACAGCCGCAGGACTGAGGGCCGTAGAACTAGTTCATTGTGGAACTACTGCAATGGGATCCTACAGTCTCTTGGCCAAGTGCTACCTTTCCATACACACCGCTCCCATTGAAGCTGGCAGTAACTGCAGGAGCATCTCCTACAGCAGCAGGATTTGGCTCTAATCTCTCACTCTAAAGGGAGAGATTTTCAAAGGGTCCCAAAGGAATTGACTTTCAGTGAGAGTTGGGTCCCTAACTCCCCTAGGCAATTTGTGCAATCCCAACCCTCAAGCCCTAACATAAAAGAGCCAGTCAGCAGGAATCATAACAAAAACACAATCTCCCCAGCTCTAAGATTCCCAGCAGAAGATGCCTACCAAACATTTTCCAACACCCTTGTGCGAAACATGGATTTTGGGGCATGTCCTGAAAAGTCAAAGAAACCTGGGCCATTTCAGACCAAGAAGATGAGTGAATAATGGGGTTGTGCTCAGAGAATGCCCAGCTGTTAATTGCCTTTCTTCTATATAAAAAGAAACCACTGCTTCAGCGTCTGACAATCTTAACTGTGACGGCATTGCAAGGATAAGAAGGCAGTCCCGCAGACAAAATGGTCTCTGACCACTGGGGATTTATAGGTAATAGGTCAAAGCCAGGACTTTACACCCTACCTGGAAGCCAAGGTGCAGCCAGTGCAGATCCTGGAGCGCTGGTGACACGTGTCATGGTGCAAAGCTCCACTTAATAAGCAGGTAGTCACATTCTGCACTAACTTCAGCTTTTGAATGGGTTAAAGATGCAGCCCACAGGCAGAAGTCTGTTCTAGAGGGGACAAAGGCATGAATCTCAGTAGCAAGGTCTGCTGTTGGAAAAAAAGATGCAATCTCCTTGACCAAACCACCTAGATGCTGCGGCTATTTGAACATCTATAAGCAAATGAGACTCTAACCAAACCCCTAGCTTGTGCATTTTGTTTGCCAATGGTCAGGGATTCACATCACACAACCTTATCAGCCTCATCAGGGGTCCACATCAATTCAACCCTCTGGGGGCCTCCCCTCACCCAGCATAATCATCTCAGTCTTTTTATATGTGGAGTCTCATCCATGCCCAGCTTCGCTCAGACAGTGAGACAGACACTCAACAGCACTCTCCGAGCTGGGTGAGATGCAGATACTCCCTATCCTCATGGCACCAAGCATTGAGAAAGCATGCCAGCCCATATCGCATCTGTAGGGACCTGATCCTGCCCCAGGGAATTACAATTGACTTCAAAGGGAGTTGGATCAGGCCTAGTTCTCCTATTGGCGTCATATGCACATTGATAGAGCTTCTATTTTTTGTGGTTTATTAATTTCATTTTTTCAGTGTTTATTTTTTAGCAATTTTTGAGTTCAGTGTAAATGTACAAAAATTGAGAGGGTTCAGGGCTTTCCCTGTGTATATAAATGTAGGACTCTTTCATTTACATTAAAGCGAACTAGGGAACCTTTAGCACACACCAGCAGGGTCTACACGTCCAACTAATGTCCAACACATTAGTGCACTTTAGGAACCACACACCCGTAGTCCACGTTACTGCCCCTTGTAGACAAGCCAGGGAGCAGGGTCATTGCCTAGATACACAAACTGCACTGGGACAGGGATTAAGTCAGTATGAATTGAGTAGCCATTTCTGGTTTCTTTCTGGTGTTTAATCGGACAAACACTGCTGTCATTTGTGTGTGTGTGTATGTATATATTAGGGGTGTTTTATCAGTTTTAGCAATTAAAACCTAAAATCAAAAGCCCTAAATTTGATTAAGAGGAATGACAGTAACAGAATCCTGTGGTACCTATGAGACAAACAAATGACCTGAGAGAGCACATTACGGACAAGAGAGCATCTGCCCAATATTACCCTCTGGATTCATTCAGAAAAGGTATGTCTACACTGCTATAAAACAAACCTGGGGCACCAAATCTCACCGCCCGAGTCATCTGACTCAGGCTCGTGGGGCTCAGGCTGTTGGGCTAAAAAATTCAGCGTAGACTTTCTGGCTCAGGCTGGGCTGCCCACCCCCCTCTCTCGGGGCTTCAGGGGCTGGGCTCCAGCCCAAGCATCTACACTGCAATGCTGTAGCCCCGCAGCCTGAGCCCCACAAGCCCTGGGCCAGCCACAGCCATGCAGCGGGTCTTTTACTGCAGTGTAGATGTACCCAAAGGAACAACGCCACCAGAGTGCCGCTCTGTATACTCCCACCATGGACTACAGGTAGGTGAACTCATACTTCTCAGTAACAAAGGCAGCTGGTAGATCTAATATGAGCTTGAACACTTGAGGCCAGATCCTCAGCAGGTGAAAAACAGCACAGCTCCAGCGGGTGAGGAGATCCACCAGGCTGAACAGGGTTGCCTCCATACTGTCTGCAGGCTGGAACCCCAACTGAGAAGGGTCAAGAAAATCAGAGGCATCAAGATACTCCAAGAGTCATCTCCCCACAACATCAGCTGCATACAGTATGTCAAGCATATCTCCCCAGCTGTGGAAGTGAGGGGACTGCCTGAACACAATCCGACTGTAAAAATCAATTGCATAGCTGTAGACAATCGACTGGCATGAGAGGGTAAGTTCCGCCTTTTGCCTGCACTGGATATAAGCTTAGAAACAACTGGCCTATTTTCTGCTCTCATCATCCAACACTGGTTTCATGGATTTTACTCTTTCATCATCTCCTTGGGGCATTTTTGCTACTTCTGTGTTGGGTAATCCATCACTCGCTAAATAATTAATTTACTTGTGTAAGGGGAACCGCATGGGGTTTAAGGTTTCTGAGCAAGGAAAGCTGACAGCTGATGTGCTACTTATGAAGGAACTAAAGACAGGGGGCAAAAAAACCCTTTAACTAAACATTATGTTCTCTTTCCATTTTTTTCTCATTATTATTATTCACTATGCAGTGAAAATTATTGCTCCCCAAACTTCTTCCTGTGTTATGCTTTTCCGTTAGGCAGATTAGATTTTATCCCTGTGGCATTATTATAATAGTCAGGGCTGTGAACTTAGAGTTGCACAGGAAAAGCACTCTTCCTCATCTCCCCAAAGGAAAGCTAAATGAGATATTCCTTATATGATCCTGTCTAGACTCAACACAGCCCTGACAATGACCAAAGAATTGAGTGAAGGAGGCTAAGCCCCCAAAGAGCAGGCACTGAGGTTGCAAAAACCGTTGGCATGAGTTCGAACCGGTGGGCTAAGCTGTGGCTTTACACAGCAGCCCTGTTTGGACTGCGTGAGCTGCATCACTTCAGTAGGGGCTCCCAGGGGAAGGAGAAGTATCAGGGTAGGTAGCACTGCCAACCGCAGGAGCTCCAAAATCAGGAGTCAGGCTCCGAAAAAAGAGATTGGTTTAAAAATCACGAGAGCACTTGGGTAACATTTTCAAGCATTTCTCCTCAACTTTTTTTTTTTAAAAACGAAGATGGAAATTTGCACCTGACTCAAGAAGCCAAGACATGAAGAAGAACACCAAAATTTGCGAGCTCTAGCAACCCCAGAGAGGCAAAATGCCACTGAAGAGCACAGATGCTGCATTGACCTTAAAGAGAGAGGAGCTTGGGTTCCCCTCTGCAGCTGGCCAGCTCTTCTGGCTGGTGTGGAGACACATGGGCCTGTGTCTCTGCTTCCTCCGTCCCTTTATGTCCTGTTGACACAGCCCAGTGGCAACTGCAGCACAAGTCTTTGTAAGCAGCTGTATTCTTGAGCATGTGGAGAAGAAGGATGGTCCAGTGGTAAGGGTTCTAGCTGGGACTTGGGAGAGCCAGGATCACATTCCATGCTCTGCCACAGACATGCTGTGTGACCCTGGGCAAGTCACCTAGCCTCTCTGTGCCTAAGTTGCCCATCTGTACAATGGGAACATAATAGCACAGCCTGACCTCACACAAGTGTCATGAGGGTAAATGCATTAGAGATGGTGAAGTGGACTCTGAAATGGAGACACGTAAGTATCATAGATGGACAAAAGGCCCTCCATTCTGTTGTGTCCACTCTATAAAATCAGGGCAAAGAACATTGAGCCGCACACACAACTGCATGGAAAACTAGTGGGGGAATATATAACAAACACTAGGAGATTTGAGCTGTGGTCCAGGAATTATTTTGCTACTCTCTGTTATTGAGGCTTTTTGAAATCTGTACTTTAGCTCTAATTATCTCAGGTGTCTTCCTTTTCTGTCCAGTGTCTCCCCAGTTTTACCATTTGCTCATTTTACTTATTTATTTTATTACCTACCTTGTGCAAAAGCTGCACTCTTATGTTACACATTGAGCTTAGCGAGAGCTTTGCTTGGATAGGAAATGTGTATGGACTGTAGAATCCCACCCCTCAATTATTATATGTTTGGCTGTCTAGGAAATATATACATTCAGGCCCAAATTTTCCACAAGTACACAATGGCACAGTTCCATTCAATTCAGTGGAGCTGTGCCAGTTTACACCAGATGAAAATTTGGTCCTTTATACACACTGCTGGAAATATTTCTGGATGGTATGACTAGCAGTTTTTCAGTGGCCAGTGGCTTGGCTAATGTTAGGGCTGGCTGACTGACAGAAGCATGGATGAAGTAGAGGAGAAAACATTGCAACTGCTTTCTCTTGCTTGATATGCGTAGAACTCAGAGCTTCCACACACTCTGGTAGAAAGTCATGCAAGAGTGTGGCAAGTGCTGTTTGAAAGAGGAAGGCTAACTACAAGAGGGAAGGGGATACTGATTAATAATCATAATATGTTATATTGAGAAAGCCCCCAAATAAGTCCTGAATTGTTTACAAACCAGGGCCTTGATCCTGCAATGAAAACGACACAGGGCACCCCTTCTCACTCCACTGGTTCCCGTTTTTTGTTTAAGAACTGGGTGGCATGCCAGGGCTATAGCTTCCTCGGCCTGGTTCTTCAAGGATTTATGCTTCGCTGAAGATGTCAATGGCACTCCGCTGTGAGAAGAGCAGGATATGGTCAGAGCAGTGTGTGGAGTACTCCTGTGAGCCTCTCCAACAGTGGTATTGTGCAAGTTGTTTGGTTTTAATTATGGCACAAGTTATCAAGGTTCCTCCCCCACTCTGAACGCTAGGGTACAGATGTGGGGACCTGCATGAAAACCTCCTAAGCTTATCTTTACCAGCTTAGGTCAAAACTTCCCCAAGGTACAAAATATTCCACCCGTTGTCCTTGGATTGGCCGCTACCACCAAACTAATACTGGTTACTGGGGAAGAGCTGTTTGGAAACGTCTTTCCCCCCAAAATACTTCCCAAAACCTTGCACCCCACTTCCTGGACAAGGTTTGGTAAAAAGCCTCACCAATTTGCCTAGGTGACTACAGACCCAGATCCTTGGATCTTAAGAACAATGAACAATCCTCCCAACACTTGCACCCCCCCTTTCCTGGGAAATGTTAGATAAAAAGCCTCACCAATTTGCATAGGTGACCACAGACCCAAACCCTTGGATCTGAGAACAATGAAAAAGCATTCAGTTTTCTTACAAGAAGACTTTTAATAGAAATAGAAGTAAATAGAAGTAAAGAAATCACCCCTGTAAAATCAGGATGGTAGATACCTTACAGGGTAATTAGATTCAAAACACAGAGAATCCCTCTAGGCAAAACCTTAAGTTACAAAAAAGATACACAGACAGAAATAGTTATTCTATTCAGCACAATTCTTTTCTCAGCCATTTAAAGAAATCATAATCTAACACATACCTAGCTAGATTACTTACTAAAAGTTCTAAGACTCCATTCCTGGTCTATCCCCGGCAAAAACAGCATATAGACAGACAGGTTTCAGAGTAACAGCCGTGTTAGTCTGTATTCGCAAAAAGAAAAGGAGTACTTGTGGCACCTTAGAGACTAACCAATTTATTTGAGCATGAGCTTTCATGAGCTACAGCTCACTTCATCGGATGCATACTGTGGAAACTGCAGAAGACATTATATACACACAGAGACCATGAAACAATACCTCCTCCCACCCCACTGTCCTGCTGGTAATAGCTTATCTAAAGTGATCATCAAGTTGGGCCATTTCCAGCATTTCCAGGTGAGAAAACCTGGATTTGTGCTGGAAATGGCCCAACTTGATGATCACTTTAGATAAGCTATTACCAGCAGGAGAGTGGGGTGGGAGGAGGTATTGTTTCATGGTCTCTGTGTGTATATAATGTCTTCTGCAGTTTCCACAGTATGCATCCGATGAAGTGAGCTGTAGCTCACGAAAGCTCATGCTCAAATAAATAGGTTAGTCTCTAAGGTGCCACAAGTACTCCTTTTCTTTTTATATAGACAGACAGAGACCCTTTGTTTCTCTCCCTCCTCCCAGCTTTTGAAAGTATCTTGTCTCCTCATTGGTCATTTTGGTCAGGTGCCAGCGAGGTTACCTTTAGCTTCTTAACCCTTTACAGGTGAAAGGAGCTTTCCCCTGGCCAGGAGGGATTTCAAAGTGGTTTACCCTTCCCTTTATATTTATGACACAAGTAATAAAGCTCTCCAATTTTAAACAGCACCTGGGTCTGAAAGCATAATGTGTGCACCCAAGTTTCACTGAAAATTGGGTGAGTTTTTTTAACTCTTTTCTGTACATGTGATCTTATACACAAATATACTAAAAACTCCATAAAAATAAAAATGTCCGGAATAGCCTTTCTTACCCCAGTGAAATACCACAAGAAGATGATATCAGCAGGTTAAACCCTTTTGCCTTGAACTGGTCATGAATAATTCAACCCTTCAAATTGTTGTCCAGTCACATAACCTCATTTGTCACTCACCAGAGGGAACTGTGTCAGTCCCTACCCAAGTTTAATAGCTGTCGATCCCTTCCCATTCTCTCTTTTCTTTCTGGGCCCTAACATTACGCGGCCGCGCTGTTTGGCAGTAGCTAACTGTGTCTGCATGGGTTTTCACCAAAGGAAATGAAAGCACACTCCACTCTTCCTATGTCAGGTTGCAACCATTAGAGAGACAAGATTGGTGAGGTAAAATCTTTTATTGGACCAACTTCTATTGGTCCGAGAGACAAGCCTGGAAGCTAAAAAGAAAGCATCTCTCTCTCACCAACAAAAGTTCGTCCAATAGAAGATGTTACCTCACTCACCTTGTCTCTCTAATATCCTGGAACTGACATGGCTACAACAACACGGCCTAGTTGCAATCAGAGCAATTAACGTGATACACAAAGGCTTTGATAACTGTTTATTCCTGAGATGATGATAATAAAACCTTTGATAGTGTGGAGTTCATAAAAATCCACCACAAAATGCTTTGCAGAACATAGTACTCTACAAAATTGTTTGAGGCTGTGGCTGCAGAATTTCAAAACGTAACTTTGCCAAGCACATGAGAAACATCCTGGCTCATAAAGGGATGCAAATAGTGACATGTTAGTTTGTTTAAAAATATTGGGAGGGGCCCCAAGTGGGACTGTGAATGCATTATTCTGATTTATAATTTATTACGCACTGGTCATGTGCTTAATAACTAGGTGCAAAATATAGGAGTAGTGTGATTTTCATTAAAATCCACTTTTTCATTATTGATCAAAATCAAGAAGGGGCCTAATTTCTGGCTCAGGTAGCCAATATCATTCAGAAACAGCTATCTATGAACAACTGATGGTGGAAATCTTTTTTGTTCTGGTTTGCACAGCCCCTAGCACAATGGGGTCCTGATCCGTGACTGCAGCTCCTATAGGCTACCACAGTACAAATAAAATAGTAATAATAACAACCAATCAGAAGATTTCTGACATGTCAGACCAAAACATCATGAGAATTCATAGCTAACGAATCCAGCTGCGAAACAGGATCTATATTCCAACACTATCACCTCTGTAACTTGTATCTACTGTTAAGTACATGTAGATTATATATAGATCCTCACCTTTAACGCCTTTCACAGTCTAGCCCTTCCCTTCTTATCTCCTCTTATATCTGTGGTAGCACAAAGGAGATGGAGAGCTTCTCAAAGGGGGCAGCCAGGGATTCCCCTCACATACTCTTTTGCGTGTAGATGTATTCAGGCTAGGCATGTGAAGAAGAATGGAGAATGATGCACTCCAGCTAATTTCAACCTGTGGAGTTGTCCTAGGGAACTGTTGTAGTTGGCCTAATTTACAGCAGCCCTTAGGCTGCTTTAAATTATGCTGGAGGCTGTTTTGGCCCCCAGTTGTCTGCTGAATTGGGGAAGAATTTGGCCCCCAGCTTTTAAAAGCATGTGATAAGCACAGCTTGGCTGAACCCAGGGATCTGACCAATTAACTTAAACCACCATGTATGTCACCCCTAAGATTTCCATGGAAGTTGCACCTGCTGGATTGATTAGACTTTTATACTCACTGTAGCAGGGCAGCTACTGAATCTGCAGAGGAGGGGTTGGTAAGTTAAGGGAAACTGTCCACAGTGACACAAGAACATGAAGCTTTTGCAGTTGCCCTTCACTGCTTTTATCATCAAATAAAAAGAGCCAACATGTATTACAAAATACTGCACAGTTCAATTTGAGCTCTAGCAAAATCATTAGGCTGTAAATACCTGGGTAACTTACATTCCATGTCACATAACAGAGGCTGTAATTTTCTAGCCTGATAGAAACATTCCAAGGGTGAGTTCCAAAGTTAGGAACAAAGGTGCCACAACATTTGGCTCTGGCTCTGAATTTGGAACCTGCTCTCAAAGGTTTGAGATTCACACAAGTTATTAGGCTCAATACAGGGGTAACTGGGTGATAGTCTATGGCGAGTGATACACAGGAGGTCAGATTCGATTATCTAATAGTCCCTTCTGGCCTAAAATCTATGAATCTATGAAACCACTAATACAGTGAACGGGACTGAAGAAACAACTCAGCAGCACAGCAATGGTGACACATCTCCGTGACACCAAGGGCCATATGGGCAACTTCCCAGAATCCAGGGTCAAGACAAAATAGGGCTTCAAAGTTTTTTCCTAAGTGAAAATTTAGGCTCTTAAATAATTAATCTGACTGCTGAATACCTCGAAGCTCCTGTTGACTTTAGTGAGCCGCAGGGTGACTCCTGAATTAGATTCAAACCCTGCAGTGCATAGCACACAGCCAGTCCGCCGTGTTGCCAATGGGGCTGTGTGCAGGTGCCTTAGTCTATCACCACCTGTGGGACCGAGGCCATAGTACATATGTTTACATGCATCTTTTAAAGGAAAAATAAATTCACATCACAATATTGGAACCAGTGATCTGTTTGCCAAACAAAGAGGTACTGTCTGAAAACTGAATTAATAGATAAAACAGTGCAGCTGATCATTTTGTTCTGATCCTGCTACAATAGGAGAGGGAGGTGGAGGGCTGCATTTTAGATTCCCTGGGTTGTTTTAGGTGCACAGTTTGCCCTTCTAGCATCCCATTATGTAAGATGCATCATAAGCTCTCTTCAAAAAGACCACACATTTGCGTTGGTTTAGAATAGCATGTATGGAATGGCAGCAGAAGCTATTGTCAAACAGCTGTGGAGGTGCTGGAAGCCACAGCAATTAGACATCTGCAGGTGAGTTAGGAAAACAGCAATACAAATTCACCTGCCTTGCTAAAAAACAAATGATGTTGTTTGGTTTAAGGATAAGCAAACTCATTTTGCCTAATTTACAAACCAGTCAAATATTGAGGGCTAAAATGTCAATTTATGTCAAAAGGAGAGACAGCGGAAAGAGAAATCGAGAGTGGGAAGGAGAATATAATCCAATGAAAAATAAGGTGAAAAAGAGAGCAGAGATATATAGCAGACAGGGTTAAATCGCTGATGGAAAGGGAGTGGCACAAAATCTCTAAAGGAAAACATTAAATTTCCTTCTCTCTGACTGTATGGATATATGCATACATAACAGTACTTACAACCCTTGAAGCAATTTTGAATATTGCCTACAGACAACACTTTCAAGGTTTCCCCCCCCACATTTAGTACATGTTACTCTCACAAGTTCAAATGCAAAATATAGTTATATTCATGCACATACACATGCGCCCCCCTAGGGCTCTTCTCTAGGAGGATTTACCCTTCTCAGTGTCTGTGGAATGGTGTTCAAATCTTATGTAGGACATACCAGCTCCTTAAAAGTGAGGAACAACTGCTAGTCCCGGCGTCTCCTTCAAACTCCCCCTTAGTCTTTGCAATGACAGCCTGCAATTTGTAGACCCTGCAGCAAATTTTCCTCCTCTTCTTTTTCTTCAGTGGGGATAGGGAGCCTACAGTCTAATCCAACAAAACTGGCAGAGTCCCTTGAACTCAATCCTTACAGCAGACCCTACTGAGCCTTGCATTGCTCCACCACCAAGCTCTTTAGTATGACTACCAGTTAGCCTATTTATAAACTCTTCCCCCTCCCCCAGGATTTCCATTGGTCCCCTTTTCAGAGGGTAGCTTGGTGTATCCTGCCAAGCCATTTGTCCACTGTGGAAATCACCCAAGTAACTTCAAACAGCTAATGAGTATGCCTAGAGCCTGCCACATCCAAGTTCTGGATGATTCTGGCCCACCCCTTGCCTGGCTCCCATAAGTCTGCAGACACACAGAGAACAAGAACTATGCATCCTTCCCACTGTTTCTTCTCTTATTGACACCACTGAATGCTGTAGTGCATACATGTTCCTTTACTCCATGACAGCCTCTGTCTCTCTTAATGGCTAGCACATATACAGCAATGTATGATCAGGTGAAATAGCTCAAAGTATCACAGCATGTTAGCTTGGATTATGTGCTGCTCCCCTCATCATAAATAGCATTTCCCTCCATGGATAAATTATCGCAGGCTATTATTTTGTCTCTTTATGAACACCTTTTCCTACTATAACAGACCAGTTTATATGCTGCTGGAACAAATGGAAACACTGTATTGGGCTATTATTCTCTACTGTAATTACTAACTGTTTTAAAATATTGATTTTTGCAGGGCTCAGTGATCATAAGCAATCTATGAAGTCTGTTGTCTTTAAGGAACCTTGAAATTTAGCTTGGGGCTGGCTTGCACTTTTAATTAGAGGATAAGTGCTGTGTGGTCAGAGTTTAATTCACATATCTTCCAGTAGTTAATGTAGAGTGGCATTCAAGCACGGGCTAATCATCCACTGTCTGCCCCCACAAATGCTATGAGTAAGAATTGTGTTACTTAATCAGCCAGTTTCAAATCTCAGTTAATCTGATGTTCGGTATATTCAAAGAATCCCCAATGACACTCTGGATTTACACTGGTATAGCAGATGGGAATCTGGCCCATGATATTTGATTAATTACATATTGTACAGTTCAGTCTGATCTGTCTGCCTGTCTTTCTCAAGTCCATCACCAGGCTATCTGGCCACCCCTTGGTAACACTAGATAAAAGCAAAAAGATGTTAACACTGTGGGGATTTCAGAGAAGTGCATCAGAAATTAGCAAAAGGTTGGGAGTGCGGATTTATGAGGAAACATGAAAATAACTAATGCCCTGATCCTGCTATTTGATCAAGCCAGGCTGCCGTTTATCCACTGTAGTCAATGAAACTCTGCAGAGAAAGAGAGATCCACCACACATGATATTGAATGTTTGTGGCCTAAATAGTAGATCTCATTGGAAAATTTCCAACAGAATGTTTTTCTGCCAGAAAATGCCACTTTGTCAAAATCAAAACTTTCCACAAGACTGTGTTGATTTTGACATTTCATTTGAAAAGAAAAAGGTGGGGGGAGGTTGTTTGTTTGTTTTTGTAAAATTAAATTAAGGTGTTTTTTAGGGCTGTCAAGGGATTAAAAATGTAATCATGATTAATCGCATGATTAAAAAAATAATCACGATTAATCATGCTGTTAAACAATAGAATACCATTTATTTAAATATTTTTGGATGTTTTCTACATTTTCCAATATTTTGATTTCAATTACAACACAGAATACAAAGTGTACAGTGCTCACTTTATATTTATTTTTATTACAAATATTTGCATTGTAAAAAGCAAAAGAAATATTATTTTTCAGTTCACCTAATACAAGTACTGCAGTACAATCTCTTCATTGTGAAAGTGCAAATTACAAGTGTAGAATTATGTACAAAAAAACCTGCATTCCAAAATAAAATAATGTAAAACTTTAGAGCCTACAAGTCCACTCAGTCCTACTTCTTGTTCAGGCAATCACTCAGACAAACCAGTTTGTTTACATATGCAGAATATAATGCTGCTCATTTCTTGTGTTTACAATGTCACCTGAACATGAGAACAGGCATTTTCGTGGCATTGTTATAGCCGGCGTCACAAGATATTTACATGCCAGGTGCGCTAAAGATTCATATGTCCCTTCATGCTTCAACCACCATTCCAGACGACATGCCTCCAGACTGATGATAAGTTCTGCTCAATAATGATCCAAAGCAGTGCAGACTGATGCATGTTCATTTTCACCATCTGAGTCAGATGCCACCAGAAGGTAGATTTTCTTTTTTGGTGGTTTAGGTTCTACAGTTTCTGCATTGGAGTGTTACTCTTTTAAGACTTCTGAAAGCATGCTCCACACCTCTCCCCTCTCAAATTTTGGAAGGCACTTCAGATTCTTAAACCTTGGGTCGAGTGCTGTAGCTATCTTTAGAAATCTCACATTGGTACTTTCTTTACATTTTGACAAATCGGTAGTGAAAGTGTTCTTTAAATGAACAACATGTGCTGGGTCATTATCCGAGACTGCCATAACACAAAATATATGGCAGAATGTGCGTAAAACAGAGGAGGAGACATACTATTCTCCCCCAAAGAGTTCAGAGGCAGCAGTGGGAGTGACTCATGTAGTGGAAGACACAATGAAGATGACTGGATGTGGAAGCTGTGGTATGTACATGATCCTGGAGGGGGTACCTGGTAAGAGTTTTGTCTGCATGAAATGCCGTCTGATAGATCCAAGGTTTGGAGATGCAGGTGGAAAGTCTGGTTGAGTTTAGAAAGGGGTTCGAGCAGATTATGGAGCAAAGACATGAGGTATCTGAAGGGAAAAGCTCAGACTTGCAGGTGGAATCAGGGCTGGGGAATTCTGAGGGGAGACTGGGTGAGGAAAGTGGTCAGTGGAAGCATGTGACTAAAAGAACCGGGCAGAGGAAAAGACGGGCCAGTGAAGGAGAAATAGAGCTCAAGAACAGGTTTGCAGAGTTGGAAAATGAAGAAGGGGCTCAGCAGGTCGTCACTTAAGGTGGAAGGGCAAGGAAGAAGAGAAGAGCGGCTAGTCCTATAGGAAAAGGGGAAGAATCAATGGAGACTACACCAAATATGAGCCCCAGGAGGATACAGGATAGGTTGAAGAGGATTACAAGGGAGAATAGGAATGGAAAGAACTTGCAGCCAGAGGAAACAGGGGATAGACTGGAGAATGTCAGACTGGAGAATAGCACTGTCACCAGGAAAAGGCAGGTCTATGTGATCGGGGACTCTTTACTGAGAAGAATGGAGAGGCCTGTAACCAGAGCTGATCCAGAGAATAGGAGGGTGTGCTGTCTTCCAGGTTCTAAGATACTGGATGTAGACCTGAGGTTGAAAAGGATTCTAAAGGGAGCAAGAAAGAATCCCCTAATTATCCTTCATGTGGGAACAAATGATACGGCTAGATTCTCACTGGAAAGTATTAAGGGAGACTATGCTAGGCTGGGGAAGACGCTTAAGGAAATCGAGGCTCAGGTGATCTTTAGTGGGATTCTGCCTGTTCCTAGAGAAGGGCAACAAAGGTGTGACAAGATTATGACTATCAACAGATGGCTTAGGCAGTGGTGCTATAAGGAGGGCTTTGGGATGTATGGCCACTGGGAGGCATTCATGGACAGAGGACAGTTCTCTCGGGATGGACTTCATCTGAGTAGGGAAGAAAATAGATTTCTAGGATGGAGGCTGACACAACTGATTAAGAGAGCTTTAAGCTAGGAATTTGGGGGAGATGGTTGGGAGATGTCCAGGTAATCTCCACGCCGGATTTTAGCATTGAGGGGGAAGAAAACAAAGTAAGAAAGGATACAGCTGTGAGTAGGGGAATGTATATAAGGAGGAAGGGCAGTGTGGATACCAGTCTAATAGGTTATACTGGCTGTTGAATGACCATGCCTAATAGGGTACAGAATGTGAGCGAGGCCAAACAGCAAAAATTAAGATGTTTGTACACTAATGCGAGGAGCCTAGGTAACAAAATGGAGGAACTAGAGCTACTGGTGCAGGAAGTGAAACCAGATATTATAGGGATAACAGAAACATGGTGGAATAGTAGTCATGACTGGACTACAGGTATTGAAGGGTATGTGCTGTTTAGGAAAGACAGAAATAAAGGTAAAGGTGGTGGAGTAGCATTGTATATCAATGAGGAGGTAGAATGTAAAGAAATAAGAAGCAATGGAATGGATAAGACAGAGTCTGTCAGGGCAAAAATTACATTGGGGAAGAAAACTATTAGAGCCTCCGCTGGGATAGTGCTTGGGGTGTGCTATAGACCTCCGGGATCTAATTTGGATATGGATAGAGCCCTTTTTAATGTTTTTAATGAAGTAAATACTAATGGAAACTGCGTGATCATGGGAGACTTTAACTTCCCAGATATAGACTGGAGGACAAGTGCTAGTAATAATAATAGGGCTCAGATTTTCTTAGATGCGATAGCTGATGGATTCCTTCATCAAGTCGTTGCTGAACCGGCTAGAGGGGATGCCATTTTAGATTTGGTTTTGGTGAGTAGTGAGGACCTCATAGAAGAAATGGTTGTAGGGGATAATCTTGGTTCAAGTGATCATGAGCTAATTCAGTTCAAACTGAACGGAAGGATTAACAACAATAAATCTGCAACTAGGGTTTTTGATTTCAAAAGGGCTGACTTTCAAAAATTAAGGAAATTACTTAGGGAAGTGGATTGGACTGAAGAACTTATGGACCTAAAGGCAGAGGAGGCCTGGGATTACTTTAAATCAAAGCTGCAGAAGCTATAGGAAGCCTGCATCCCAAGAAAGGGGAAACAATTCATAGGCAGGAGTTGTAGACCAAGCTGGATGAGCAAGCATCTCAGAGAGGTGATTAAGAAAAAGCAGAAAGCATATAGGGAATGGAAGATGGGAGGGATCAGCAAGGAAAGCTACCTTATTGAGGTTAGAACATGTAGGGATAAAGTTAGACAGGCTAAAAGTCAATTAGAGATGGACCTTGCAAAGAGAATTAAACCCAATAGTAAAAGGTTCTATAGCCATATAAATAAGAAGAAAACAAAGAAAGAAGAAGTGGGACCTCTAAACACTGAGGAAGGAGTGGAGGTTAAGGATAATCTAGGTATGGCCCAATATCTAAACAAA